GATTCAAACCCGCCACCTTAGGTGTATGTGGCTGGCGCCTTAGCCACTTGAGCCACAGGTGCCGAGCCACATATTGGGTTTTTCTCCTTTCCCTTTGACAAATATTTACTTCTTATCGTTAATATAATTATCAACATGAGTATTTTAATCACCTAAATCTTTATCAGATTATAATACAAAACAAATATCTGAGGGGCAGGACGGTAAAAATCAAACTACTTGTGTGTTAAGTGTAGTCAAATTTATACTGCAATTCAAGAGTCAATGTCATGTATATAGAAAAGAAAGTTGGCTAGACCAACACATATCAATCAAGAGGTGATTTATGAGTATCTTTCAATATATAAGCAAGGTGATGGTCAGAATTACAGTTGCATTACTTTTCTGTAATAACTATGATGGTTAACCTCCAGGATCTGGCTTGTTGACCAGCCAAACCAGGGAATCAGAAATGGCAGGAAAAAACAGCCCCTTGCCCCCCCCCCCAACTTCATCATCAAAATTTAAGGCCTCCGCTACTGTATGCCATTTGGTAGATATTAATTAAAAGGTAAAATGGCCCTTTCCTCTGAGTTTTTAGCAGATGAGACAGTATTCCACAGTTTAAAAAATGCTCTGCAGATCACATTTAAAAAGGGAACAAATGGAAAACTATCAAATTTACCTCCCCACTCTGTTTCAATTATCACTGTATTCAAAAGTCCATAATTATCTTTTATAAGGATAACATTAAAAAAAGGTTCATTAGAATTCTGAATTTGTTCCAATCTCATCTTGCTGACATTGGCAGAATGTTTTAGGGAAATACTTGACCCTTGACTTATTTTTAACAAGGCAGTAAATTAAAGATTCAGAACTCTCAGAGACACCCATCAGCCAACTGTTTGTCAATAGTTCTTTTTATTTTCTACTTGACATTATTAACAAAATCAGATGTTATCCACACCCATAGATTCTGTGATGTTTTTCCTCGAGTTGCTTCAAAAGTCCACACATAAAAGCCTTCCTTGCTGCTTATCTGCTCTAAAGTGGACCAAGGATAACAGTGTTAGTAGGTAACAGTATTAGTAGGTCGGAGAAGTCTGCCTAGCAATTCAGCTTCTACAATTAGACTTTTAACTTCTGGGGGGAAATTTGCTTGATCTGCTGGGATTCACATAAGGTAATCTAATTTTAGACAGCCTTCAGAGCCAAGAACCAACTCCTTTTCTGGACTTCACCTTAAGCAAACAGAAAAAGAATGTGGATGCCTATAGTCATGGTCACCTAGTGCTTGTCCTTTAAATAAAATAAAAATATAGGCCAGGGCCCAGGGAATAAGAGTCTGGGAGTCAGGATGTAAATTTTAGCAGTAGGGGTTATATTCAGGCAGACCTTAAATATTCAGAGATGTTCTCATTAAATAGGGAGCTGTTTTAGTGCTTGAAGAAGGCTTTAATGAACAGGAAGAGGTTACATGGAAAGAATAGCCTAATAGTAATATGCAAAATGTTTTTAAACAGTAAAATGTTTTAAACAGTAAATAGCAATATGCTGTTTCAGAGGCGTTTGCGTTAACCAAATAGCAAGGTGCTTCTTTGCTTGCTAGCCTGTAGGTGCTGGGTTCCAGCTTACTGGTTGTGGAGAGAAGGGATATGATCCTAGACCTTAAAAATATCCCACAAATTCTTCAAGCTATCTCTTCCTCCTTCATGGTGACTTTGGACACGAAATGTTATGGATGATGAAGATGAAATAAGACAGACTCACATCACCTATCATGTGAGACATAAGTCTTTATTTGGGTGCGTATTTGTTACTCCACCATAGCTTGGCATATCCCTCTTCAATAACGAAAGGAGAAAAGAACTAGAATTAAGAAGTGACTACTGCAGTAATGGGAGATGAGGACGATAAAAGTACAAGCTGGGCTGCGAAGATTCACAGCAAGGATGTGAACCCAAGAGATGTTTTGAATGGAGAGAATGTGGTAAGTACAAAAGTCTCATTCAGATAAATATTAATTGAGCACTTATTATTTGTAAGGCACTGTGTAAGATACAAAACCCCATTAAGTCATACCTCCGAATGCTTACAATCTAGTTGAGGAGACAATGTACATACCTAAATTATAAAACCAACAAACCTTAGAGCATAATGGTAAAGAAAACAGACATTGAATATACACCTGTGTTCAAGACCTGGGGTTACCTTTTACCAACTTTGTCACCTTAGACAAGTGACTAAATTTCAGTGTGCTCATCTGTAAAATGTGGATAGTAAAAGTATATACTTTGTAAGGTTGGCATATGGATCAATGAATCTATGCCCTATAAAACTCTTAGCTAAGTGTTTACCCCATAATAAGCACACAGTAAGTGCCAGCTATTAGCAGTAGTGGTATTAAGAGATCTAAAAGTTGGGACACGAAGCAAGGTCAGTGCCCCAAAAGCTCCGAGAGAGAGGGACTAACAGCTATCAAAACTGTTCTAAAAAAACCAGTGCTGCTCTGATATAATTTTGGCTTTTCCTTCCTGTTGCAGCCTCCAGTTATTTAAAGTGCATTGACACCCGGGGCCTAGGTTCTCAGACTAGAAGTGTGTCTCGAGATATCCTCCTAACATCTATCCTATTGTCTGACCAATCCTTCCAAATTTTTGAATATTTAGAGTTATTTCCTAGTTTCTGTCCAGCCCTACCAGTTTCATAACACAGTAGGAACAGAGAGTTTATTAAACACTCTGGAGCATAGGCAGGACAGGAGAATCATAGCCAGCATGGACAGAATAACCAAATGATGGATTTAAGATAGAGGAGGCCTATCTAAAATTTTTATGGAGGTTTTTGTCTGATTGAAGCTTTAACCCAACTCAGTCTATTCCCTGTTTGGCATAACGCCGTTGATGTTGGATAATTGATGATTTTGAACTGAAAACCTTCTCACACACACTGCACTGAAAGGGCTTCTCTCCTGTATGAACTCTCTGATGCCGTGTGAGACGGCATCTCTGACTAAAGGCTTTCCCACATTCGCTGCATTCATATGGCTTCTCTCCAGTATGGATCTTCTGATGTTGTGTGAGGGATGAACGGTCAAAGAAAGCTTTGCCACACATAATACACCGGTAGCGAGGCTCCCCAGCATGAGCCTTCTGGTGTCTGTTCAGTGAGGAGACACCATAGAAGGCTTTCCCACACTCATTACATTCATAGGGCTTCCTGCCAGTATGGATTAGCTGATGGCGAGTCAGAATACTTTTCTGGCTAAAGGCTTTTCCACATTGATCGCACTCATAAGGGCTTTCTCCAGTGTGAATTCTCTGATGTCGTGTAAGGGAAGAGCGGTCAAAGAAGGCTTTTCCACACTCATTGCATTTAAAGGGCTTCTCTCCAGTATGAATTCGCTGATGCACAGTTAGGGATGAACGGTCATAGAAGGCCTTCCCACATGTGCTACATTCATAGGGGCTCTCTCCAGTGTGACACATCAGATGCCTGGTGAGACTGCTCTTGTGACTGAACGCTTTCCCACACTCATGACAGTCATAGGGCTTCTCTCCAGTGTGAGCCCTCTGATGGCGGATAAGGGAGGAATGGTCACAAAATGTCTTCCCACAGTCACTGCATTCCTGGTGCTTTTCTTTAGTGAGAATTTTCTTGGGTGAGGCTGACCCTTGCTGTAAGCTTTTCTCCTGGGAAAGAGATTTCTTGCAAGTTGCAACTGCAGGGTTTTCCTTCTCTGCTTCCAACCCCCACTCTGGTACATGATCTTCAAATTTGGGACACAGAAGACTTTGCCTTCCAAGTCCTTCCCTCAATGCTGCTTCTGAATTTTCTTCTTCTGAAACATCTTGAATTTCAGGCTTAGTCTCACAGTCTGGAAGAAACAGAAAACACAGATGTGTTTCCTTCCAAGGCTAGGAAAACAGGACAGCAAATAGAAGGGATACTATGATGAATCCGATACTAATATATGGTCACTGAGGTCACTGATTGCTTCTACTAGTAGTCTTAACTAGGGAGAGACTGACACCTGGGAAGGAAGAAGGCGGCAGGGAATAGAATTGATGGCGGACATCTCGGAAAATAGGAGAATGTCCATTGGGAGCATGGGTAGGACAACTAAGGGAGCAGGCTGAATGGAGAGGATGGTAATCAGTAGGGATACCAAAGTGTGAAAGGACAACATGAAAGATCTGAGGAAATAAACATTTAGTGGATATAGATGAATAATACGTTAAGGTATAGAGAAAAAAACTGAATACTAGTAGGTGATACAAAATAAATAATAAAGAAGTAGACCTGAATTTGAGAAAAAGATGATATCCAATATTGCCCCACACACAGCCAAAAAAAAAAAAACAAAACAAAACCAAAAACAAAAAAACAACAATAACAAAACTCTTCCCCCTCTTGTTCATACTCAGTTACCTAGAAAGATACTTTCTCTCTCCTCTGATCCATGAAGATCTACTATCCATGGCTCCTCCTCTCTCTTCAACTGAAAAATCACATCAGGTCGAGGAACTGGAAGTCCTGCTCAGGAAAATAAACAAGCCAGGTGGCTGTATGTGATGAAAATACATCACTATTCCAAAGCTTAATCTTGGCCTCTGAAGTCTTTCAGAGGGAAAATCCAAAAGGCAGAACGCACAGGCCAAGAATGTAGAGTATGAGGCAGAGGAACCTCTGGATGGAGGCCAGGACTGAGGATCTAAAAATGAACAAGTGGCACTTGCTCAGAATACTGACAAAATCTATTTGAATCAATGTGTTTATTCTTCCCCATGGAGTAAGTGGGAGGCTCTGGTAGGATGAGGGTCCTTGACTTAGGGGAGTAAGAATGAAAAAAGATCATTTCAACTAAAAAAGTATAAAAAGGTGCCCATTTTTGCTTGTTTGTTTATTTTTACCATTATGTTTTTATTAAGAAAAGTCAGTTGTGTTTATTGTAGGAAAATGAAAGGTGTGTACAAATAAAAAGAAAAGTAACCTTTCATTCTTACTTTTTATTTTTTTCTCTATTCATTTTGATACCAAAAGATACCTATACATACAGTCTGTTAAAAACTGAATAATAAATTAATGCTAACTTGTAAAATTGATTTTTAACATAAGTTAAAAATATTATTTCAACTAACAAATCTACCTCATCGTTTTAATAACTACATGATATTCATTATATGGAATAACATTATTTAATGAATCTTCTGCTGACAGACATTTTAGACCATTTTTAATATTTTGCTATTAACAAACAATGGTATGGTGAACATTTGAGTACACTATGGATTGCTAATTCCTAGAAACAAACAATCCAGTTTTGGTTATATGTGTACAAGAAACAGATTCCCTCCTGGAAGTAGACGTGAGTTCTAAACTTTCCTTGTATCGAGGTCCCAGCTTGGGAAAGAGAAGCACATTCTTATTGGGGCTAAAGATCATCTCTTGGGTTGTATGCTGATTCTCTGCTGAAAAAAAAAATGGCCACACCCATCGCCTGCTTGTGGCTTCCTGTCTCTGACCTTAAGGATTCCATTTTCCTCAATATTTCACCTGCCAAAGCCAATGACAAAGGCTCAGCAGTCTCCGTAATGCCTCCCAGACATTCTCTTCTGTGTGGGAAACTATTTGGCATGATTAGGTTAATCTGGAGCATTAACATTTGCTTTTTTGACCAGTCTTGTATGAAATCTGCAGTGACTCAATTTACTGCCACCTGCTGTTATTTTAAGCCAGCTGTGGACTCTCAGCCTTCGATTCTTGGAGCTCTGAGAAGTTCTCATTAGCTACCGGAAACCAACTTTACTTCGCATTAATATCTGCCAATCAGCAGTAACTCCTAACTTTCTTTTTGTTACACAAGTCTCTATAATTACAAAATGTCTCTGTGAACATCTAAGAGTGTACATAAGACAAATATTCAAAATCAAGTACATCTCTTGTGACCTAATCAGAGGCACAACCCTCTATTCCTACCCCACATCTCTTGCTTTTTAAAAGGGAACACCTTTTCCACCCACCCCACCCCCAGCTTTCCCCATCAACACGATGGCCCCTTTCCCAGCACTGAATCCTCCGGATGGAGATGAGTAAATTACCTGACTGATGAGCTAGGAGAACTGGGCATAGGGAGCTGAGCCTCTTCTGCTCACTCCAGGCTCCCTGCCTAAGGTACACATTCTGCTCTGTCCCTCAGCCTTCCCAGGCTTCCCTTCTGTTCTGCAGGGGCAGGCTGCCCAGCACTGCTTAGGGCTGTGGGAGCATCTCTGTCCAATGCTGGGGTTCATTATGAAGAAGCTGACTGTTGTAGAAGCCCTACACTGTGTCTTTCAACTTTTTCACCTTGTTTCTCAGGTGGCTCAGAACCCAGGCGGGGGCAGAAGAGGTATCAATTTCTCAGCCCCCACATTAGCACAGTACAGATTGAAACTCTCCTTACCCAGTGAGATGATACTTTTATAGTTCTCCAGCATCACCTCCTTGTAGAGGTCCCTCTGAACAGGGACCAAATGCTGCCACTCTTCATCTGTGAAAACCACAGCCACATCTTCGAATGTCACTGATTCCTGAAAACATAATCACATTGGTTCAGACAGAAAGGTTATAAAGATGATAACCCTTGAGGACATGGAGAGGTAAAAGGGAAATAGTCCTGATCAAGTAGGACTTTGAAGAATTTGGGAAAAGTGGCACAATCACCCAAGAGACCTAGTTCTTGGTCATAAGCCTATACCATTCACAGGTGAGCCTCTGATTATCAGGGCTCTTTTTCATATTTACAGAAAAGTTGTAAGAAGAGAAAAAAAATTCTCATGTACCCTTCACCTAGCCTCCCCAAATGCTAATATTCTGCACATTTGCTTTATCTTTCTGTCTCTCTTTATTGCATACGTTCTCCTGTCTTTTGCCTAAGCCTCTTGCAAACATCATGTGTTTTTATTCCTAAGTATTTCAGTATATATTTTATTTTAAAAAGATATAATCTTGTTATAATCATAGTATAATAACAAACAGCAGAAAATAGCATTGATATTATACTAGGTGTCCCAAAAGTTGCCATACATAGAAAACCATATCCTGGAACATGTTCGCTGTGAGTGGGAGAGACTTCCTGTGTTTGTAGAAAGAGGTAGTCAACATGTAAAGAATATTTTGTAAATAAAGGTTCATTTAGCTACAATTTCCTATTTGCCCTATGTATAGTGACCTTTGGGACACCATGTATTGTTTAATCTACAACCTTATTTAAATTTTGCCAATTGTTTTTTTTTTTAACAAATCTTTTTTTTGTTGTTGTTGCAGTTTGGCTGGTGCCAGGTTTAAACCCACCACCCTCGGTATATGGGGCTGGCATCCTACCCACTGAGCCACAGGTGCCGCCCCACTTTTTTTTTACAAATATTAAAATAATGGTGTTGACTAGATTATCTTTAGGATCCTTTTGCTCTGTGATTCTCTAAGATTGCATCTTTACTCCTAATTCTAAAACCTCAGACAGCACACCCAGAGCTCAGTGGTTAGGGTGCTGGCCACATGCACCGGGCTAGTGGGTTCAAATCTGGCCCAGGCCTGCTAAACAAAACAAACAAACAAAAGAATAGCTGGGTGTTGTAGTGGGCATCTGTAGTCCCAGCTACTTGGGAGGCTGAGACAAGAGACTCGTTTAAGCCCAAGAGCTTGAGGTTGCTGTGAGCTATGATGCCATAGCACTCTACAGAGGGTGACAAAGTGAGACTCTGTCTCAATAAAAAATAAATAAATAAATAAATAAATAAATAAAACAAACCTCAGATGAGTTTCCAGGGTATCTGCAGATGTTCTAGGCCAGAGCATATAAAATTGAAGACTCTGCTCTTAGGCAGGAATGGGGCAAGCCATGTGTTTCTACTCACATACAACTCTTTAGGACTTACAACCTCACTGAGGTGCTCTACTGTGTGTTATCACATTCCCTGCCTGATCCAACACTCCTAGGAACACTGGGGCCTACTTTCAGTCCATATTGGATATACTAAAGGGCCAGTCAGGACCAAAACCAGCCCACAATCCCCCAAACCATACCATCAGCTTTAAGGCGAAATCACTCAGCGAAAAGGCTCCAGGGGTCATGTGCCTGGTGACAGGCTGGTGGGCACATGCTTATGGCAAGCAAAGGTGATGAAGGACACTTCGATTCAAATGGGCAAGATGTGATCCCTACAGAGTTGCTCATCTGCCTGGTTGGGTCTGATCAAAGCAGTTTCAGGATAGAAAAAGAGAACTGGTTACATTCTGGGGTATTTCAGAAAGACAAAAGCCCACCTTACCTGACATCTAGCTGTCAGAGACACAGCAGCCATTCCCTCCAGTGTGCTCTCTTTATAGAAAAGGGTAGTGTCCTAATGAGGCAGAGGAATGGGATGAGAAAGAGGGTATGAGCAAGACCAGTCCTGTTTTATTGTTTTCTGTCCCAAGAACTCTTCACATACCAGTGAGAAATGTCCCCTCAGTCCCAATACCCTACAAAAAGGAGGCCAAAGTAAAGCAAGTCCAAGAGCAACCCGAGCTCTTCCTAGAATTAGAGCCAATGGCCATGGATATTGTGAGTTAGAAGACAACACAGTGCTGTTTTACTATGATCCTATAGGCAGAGTTGTGTTTCTGGGAGTCAGAACATATTAAGGTCGTATGGTACTTACAAATTGACATTCAATAGTGCCCTGAAAGATTACTAGATAGAAACCATAAGCAATCTTGTAGAAGACTATATAGACAAGACATGTCAAGGAAAATCTGCAGCCTCTTCAAAGGAAAAGTACCCCATTCACAGCCTCTGCTAAATGACCATCCCTTGAGTGGCCCATTTTGTACCACATGACTGTCTCCCTCCTAGAGCCACACTGATTAGGCCATAGGTGGGCAATGCACAGGTGACTGGTATACTGAGATGTAATCTGGCTTAAAAAGATGACATCATTCCTCAGGTACATGAACTAAGAAATATCAGGACAAGTGAGTGATGAGCTGAAGGGATATTGGAATGAAGTAGCCACAGGATCAGGAGAACCAAAGTTATTAGGAAGGGGAACCTAGAGACAAATGGGAGGTAAGAGGTAGAAAAAAGGTCTTCATAGACAGTGGGACAAGAAGCAGGCAGAGGGATGAACAGCTCTGTCATATTAGCAATGAAGTTCTACAAAGACCTAAGAATTCCTGGCCCTAAAGTCCCTCACCTCACCTAGTACTACACCTAGTTTTGGAATCTGTGGGCTCCAATTTCCATGCAGACAAGCCTTAGTTATTCTTGGATTTCCAGAAGACTCTAATCATCTTGGGTTGTTTATGACTCTTTATCATTACTTGGGTTGTTTGTGAATCTTTATCATTACTTGAGTTAGTTGATTAATATCTCCGTTTCTCACAATCAAAAGTCTGATAAAACAACAGTGTGAAACCCAGCATTTCTGGGATTCGGGTGGGGGGTGGGTAGGGAGAGATTGTGTCCTGGGGAGGAGGAGGTATGTTTGTGGCTCACGAACCATTCTTCTGTAGTCAATGCAATATGGTCACTGCTTTTTGTGATTCATTCATTTTCTCTTCAACCAGCATTTATTCAGCATCAACTATTTATACTAAACACAAAAACTAAGATGCTGTCCTTGTCCTCCACAAGCTTTGACCTAGCATACACAAACAAGTAAACAAAATAGCGTCCACTCCAAGATGGGTGAGTGCCATAAAGAGAGAAGCCCTGCAGCCTATGAGAGCACCTCAGAGACTCACCTACCCAGACAGGAGTGAGGGACACCGCAGCTTTCTTGACAGAAGTGGGATCTAAGGTAAGTTTTGATTCGGGGGATGGAAGTGCACAACCTCAAGTATTTCAAAAAGAAGAAAGCAAGTCTTTCCATGGAAAGGATTAACGACCAAAATTGTTATGGAAGTAATTTTTGGTGAAGTTTAGGCCGTGAATGGTGCCATGGGGAAAGATGAGGCTGGAAAAGTAGGCAGAAACCATTTTCCTCAAGGAGAGCTTCATCTACCCCTTTTTCCATAGGGATGTGGATCGCTGAAGGGGATGTGTCATCAGATTTGTGTTTCAGAAAGATCCCTGCAACTTGTAGTGAGGGCGTTGAAACATACATACCCTTTGAGCAATTTTCTTCTAGGAGGAAGAAAATTTATCTTAGGAAAATAAGAATATGTACAAAGTTTTTTATTAGTCATCACCTACACTAACCTTATTGAGGGTTATATGCAGATACCTTCCTAAATGCTTTGCATATATCATCTCATTTAATCTTTATAATAACTCATCAAGAATTTGAAATATCCTAAATCTCTAAAATAGGAGATTTGGTCAAATAATTTTATAATTCAGCCCCTACACACATGAAATATTATTAAACATCATCTTAGTAACAATCAGAATTTATTGAGTATCTGCTATTTGTCAGGCACTGAGCTAAATGCTTTTTGTAAGGATAAATTCCATCCTCATAAACCAATAAGGGAGGTACTACATTACAGATCAGGAAGTTTAGGCTTTTTAAGAGGCTGAAGTAGAATTTGAACCCACGTCTCCCTGGCAGCTTTCAACTGTATGTTATAATGATTTATTTTCATGGAAAGATAGCTACATAGATGGCAGACCAAAAGACTAGAATAAAAAATCTCAAACCATATCCAAGAATTTAGGGAAGCATGATATATGACTGAGGTAGCATCACAAAACACTGGGGAGAAGACCAGTAATGATAGCATCAATTGGATAATGTGTAAGTTATGATGGTATATGTATGTATGTGAATATATATGCATATATAATACATTGATGAAGATGAACTGGAGCTACATGTCATAATTACTGAGCAAAACTAAGAAAGTTATAGAATTATTGTATAATATTTACATAAAATTAAAAAATAGGGAAATAATGCCTGAAAAAATCTATATAGGACAATAAGCACTAAATTGTATTTCTGGGAAGAGAGGGAAATAAGACTGAGGAGGAATTTCTATGAAATTTTAATTTTACTTGTAATGCTTTGTTTCTTAAAAAACAAAATAAAACTGAAGAGAAAAAGGTAAGGAAATTCACAAAATATTAAATGAAGAATTCAGTCCTGTAAAATTACATATTTGAACATGAACATACATATATAAAAAGGAAGAATATGTATTATTTTAATGGAATATATGGAATGGAATGTGATAGAATTTGAGTGGTGACGTTACAAGTGATTTTTAATTCTTACAATTCTTTATAGTTTAAGTTTTTTAAACAAGAGTTTATCTTTCTTTGGTAAATAGCAGGGGTGTCCAACCTGCAACCAGCAGGCCCCATGCTGATTTTGTGAGGATTTTTTGTTTATCTGTGGTGTCAAATATCATGAATAGTATGCAAGAACCTTTTTTTTTTTTTTGTCAGCTTTCATTAGTGTTTGTGTATTTAATGTGTAGCACAAGACAACTCTTATTCTTCCAATGTGTGGCAGAAGGAAAAAAAAAAAGGTTGGACAGCCCTGGTGTGCAGGAAGAATAACAGAATGGACAGAAGGGTGGTTGGTGTGCAGAAAAG